CATTTCTCCGCTCTTCTTTTTTCGCGTTTTCCATCCCGTTTCCACCGTCTGTTCTTGAGGAGCGGAAAGTGGCACGGTCTGAAAAGATTTCTCCGCTTGTGAAAATCACTAGCTGCGCTGATACCAAGAACATTAATGATACCCTAAATGACATCAATTAGTCCATCTGCCGTGATAAACATCCATCGTCGAGATTACTATCCTCGACTTTCCCCTCTCCCTCCTTTTTTTCTTTCCCGGCAAGACACAATCCGAGAAAACGTTAAGTAACTGATTTTCAAATAATCGCGCTGCTGCTTTCTTTCTTCACGCAAAATCGTGGCGCATGAATGTTAACGACGATAAACTTCATTCCATCGAGTCGGTTGTTCCCCATCCTCGTCTATTCTATCCCGTTTCGTTATTATCTAACGCTTTCCCCAGAGAATGCCGCCTGCATTCAATACTCTCGTCCTAAATTCTCGAAACGACTCGAGTTTTTTCTACTTTGAAAATATCCATTTCTATATACGTTTATATACTTTTTCTCTCCTTCTTTTATATCCCAGGAGGCAACAAAGGAAAGGATCTATATATCATCTTGGAACCTCGGTCAAACCATTGAAACCAATCTTTTGGACAAAAAGCAAGAACAAGTGAATGTTTCGTCTCGATGATTTATTTTTAATCGCAATATATATATTCACGTTTTCCTCAACAACTTATAATTCACGAAAAATATATTTGTCGTTTGTTCTCTCCTCGAAAGGTGCAACGATTTTTCCTCTTTTTCGCGAGCCTTCGTGACGCTTAAATCGTATCCACATTTGCAAGTCATTAGTCGAGTTTCATGCCACTCGAAAACAGGACTATAATATAATGGTACGCTCACGCTGTACGAAAACGGTGTGCTTACGATGTGCAACGTGAAACCATCGTGATACGATTGCGCAGCTATTGTTTACCGCTTTATCTAGTGGGAAATCATTTTGAAAGATATTACGCTTCATCTCCGCGTATCCCGCCCGCGCCATTTTGTTCCAGAAATTTCTCCAACGGAGTTATTCCGATCGATCCTTCGAAACAATTTCTAACGAATATTATCGACGCTATCCGCCATTATTACCATATATTCATATCATTTCTTATTCCTGTTAAATATTCCGAATTCCCAGTGATCGAAATTCGTAGCGACAGATGGAGCACAATCGTACAAAATAACAAAAGCAAACGAGCAAGCGACAAATAATAAAAAAAAAAAGGAAAAAAGAAAAGAAGAAAGAGGAAGGAGGAAAAGAAGAGAGAGAGAGAGAGAGAGAAAGAGAAAAAAGCAGCCAATTACAGAGAAGTTTCTGGGCAAAGTATTCCTTAAACTTCAATGGAACGTTGGTGGACACCCGCGGCGTAAAAAATTCCGCGCGAAGACGCAGAAACGGGATCCGGCGACGCGGACGGTTTGAGAACCGCTCTCGTTCACACGTTGTGAAGCTGAGTGTACGATTATGCTTAAAAATTAGTGTCGTTGCGTTCTAACTCCATACACACGGTGCGTACACACTTCATTAAGGCCATTAGAAGGCATCTGGGCACAGCAAGGCGACGACCTGCAACCCCCGACGCAGATCTCTTTCGCCTTTTCAACCCCTCCAAGGGTGACCGACAATAATGGCTTTTACGCCGATAGGCTTAAGGCCAGATATCGTGAGCACCCTGAACCCTTCGAAATTGAGATACCTGCGCGATGCGTGATTATTTTCTTCCTCCCTCCTTCTTCCCTAATAAAAACTTCTCCTCGCCGTTCTCCTTATTATTATTATTATTATTNATTTTTATCGCCGTTTCGAAGATAAGATAAACCTTGATCCTTTTGA